CTGCTGCAGCAAAGGAGCTTCTGGGAGCAGTTTCCAGAGAACTCACCTGCCCCATCTGCCTCGAGCTGCTGCGGCTGCCCGTCACTCTTTGCTGCGGCCACTCCTTCTGCAGATATTGCATTTCGCACAACAAGTTGGTTGGGAGCTGCTGCCCGTTGTGTCGGCAGCAGCTAGGAAGGGCCTTTGCGGTGAACACGGTGCTGTGCAACTTGCTGGGGCTGCTGCAGCAGCAGCAGCAGCAGCAGCAGCAGCAGCAGGGCCGCCTCGTCGACGGCGCCTGGTGGGCGCAGCACTGCGTCAAAAACAGAGTTGCTGCTCCCCTCGCGCTGCGGCTGCTGCTGCCGCACGTGGCTGAGGAGAGTTTGCTGCTGCTGGACGACACTGTGGCCTGCGTCCTGGACTTGTTCGAGAAGCGCCAGCTCTGGTCCGACCAGCGCTGGTGAGCCTTTTGCTGTTTTCTCCTTTTATTTAATTTTATTTCCCCTTTTAATCCTCAAAAGCTCTTTTTATTTCCGTTTTCCGTCGAAAATGCGCACGAGTCGAACGCGCACGCAAAGCCCGCGCGCCGCCGACGCCTGCGGTGTACGTACACTCCGTTTCTGCACGACCCAGACTTCGCAGGGTGCGATCTGCATTTATATTTCCGTTTCCTTCTGTTTTATTTTATTTTCAAGTTTATTTCCTAACTTAAAGCACTTTCAGAAAATGCTTGGCTACGCAGGTGCTTCACGCTGCGGGACGCCGAGACCTTCTGCCGCCTCATCGACTACAGCCAAGCCGACAAAGGTGAGACCAACCCCAGCAGCAGAAGCAGCAGCAGCAGCAGCAGCAGCAGCTGGTTGATCCCCCAGCCGCTGCTGCTGCAGCTGCCGCCGGCGTCCCGCACGCTTTGGCGCCGCAGCTGCTCCCGCACGACTCATCTGCTTCCAGCGCGTGGGAAAAGGACCAGCAGCAGCAGCAGCAGCAGCAGCAGGTTGTGTGCTGCTGCATGCAGAGGGCACGCGGGCGCGGCTGCACCGCTGGGTGGAAACTTATGTTTCTTCTTTGCCTTCGCTCTGCGCCCGCTGGGGGCCCCTGGGGGCCCCCGAGGAGAACAGCCGTTTCGTAGTGCGGGTCATTGGGGACCGCATGCACCGCATCGAAGGCAAGGTCTTCGACTCCCGCACCATCCAGGTGCTGCTGCTGCTGCTGCTGCTGCTGCTGCTGCTGGGCTGCTGCTGCTGCTGGAGCAGGACTGCTGGTGTGCTGCTGCTGATGCAGGGCTGCTGCTGCTTGTGTGCTGCTGCTGCTGCAAGGCTGCTGCCGCAGCAGCGCCGGAGGCGCGAGGGGTGCTTTCGGGGTCTGTGCTTTCTTGCTGCGTGTCTGGAGCTGCTGCGCTGCTGCTGCTGCGCTGCTGCTGCTGCTGCTGCAGCAAGGGCTGCCGTGGGACCTGGGCCGCCACCAGCAGTCGCTGCTGCACGTGCCGCACTCTTCTGTGTCTCTGTCCCATTTGCTGCTGCTGCGGGAGAAGACAAAAGGGGCTTTGCAAATTGTCGACTTGGGCTCCACCATCGGCACCATGGCCAAGTGAGCCCAGCTAGCTAGCTAGCTGGCTAGCTGCTAGCTAGCTAGCCAGCTAGCTGCTAGCTAGCTAGCTGCTGGCTAGCCAACCAGCTAGCTGCTGGCTAGCTAGCTAGCTATAGTTAGCAACGTACTAACTGCCTAGTTAGCTGCGTGGTGAGCTAGCTAGCTAGCTAGCTAGCTAGCTGGTTGTTGGCCTAGCTAGCTAGCTGGTTGTCTAGCTGGCTAGCCAGGCAGCCGGGTGGCTAGCTGGGCAGGTAGCTGCAGTTTTGTGTGGAGCTGCGCGTAGCGAGCTGCGCAGGCAGGCCTCCTCGCTGCATTCTTCTTGCTGCTGCTGCTGCTGCTGCTGTGCTGCAGAGTTTGTGGGGTGCAGCCGCTGCAGTCTGGGGACTTGATCCACATTGGAGACCGCGTGGAGGTCTCCGTGGAGATTCACCCGGCCCCCCCGTGGCTGCGGCGAAGGGCCCAAGGCAGCAGCAGCAGCAGCAGCAGGAGCAGTAGCAGCAGCAGCAAGAACAGTAGCAGCAGCGGCAGTGATGCGGCAAAAGTGGAGGAGTGCCCCTACTTGCTGTCGCACTGGAACGTGGCCCTCAACAAAGTCGTGGGGCCCGTTCTGCCTGAAGACGACGCAGCAGCAGCAGCAGCAGCTGCTGCTGCTGCT